GCAACTCGTGTTCGACTCGTTCGTTAAAATTAGCGAGCGTAACACGAACAAATTTTTAAGGTCGCAATGTAAACAAACCAAACACAAACAAAAGTTTGTTCGCTCATGTACTGCTCGAATTGACTGAAAAATAAATAAATAAATAAATACAAAATAAATATTAATAAAATTAAATATTATAAATTGTAATTAATTAATTTTTATACCAAAAGCTTTTTTAGAAAAATTATTATAATAGATTTATAATCTAACGACCAATTTCGAGCCGGACAAAAACCAAACACAAACATGAATAAGTTTTTCGAGCCAAACAAGAACACACTGTTCACAAGCCATTTCGAACACGAGCCAAGTTGAATCTCGCTCAGGCTCGACTTGTTAACAACCCTAGTTGCAGCTCAGTTGGCAGGTGTGCGGTTCTCCTCGTGACCCGTGTTTGATTCTCATGGTCTTCATACATAAATTATTTTTGCAGCGAAGGTGCCGGTGCCGGCCGGTGAGGCGACAACATCCGGGGGCAAAGACAACAGTGGGTCAGCTAGTCGTTGTCGTGTGGAATGAGTTCAACATGTTAGTGGGTTGTCATTGGGTGGAACAGGTAGTTGATGGGCAAGGGATGGAGCGGTCGAGCGGGTCATCGAGTTGGTCGTGTTATGCAAGTCATTGGTTTCTATGGGTCGTGTCGGAGGGGTGGTCAACAAGGCTATGTCATTTACGACATGGCTGCACCATTTTTGGCAAAGCGGGCGTTGCTACAAAGCGTCGACGACCACCTCCGTTTGCTCGACACAAAAAAACTTCAAAGGGAAAAGTCTTCACAGTGTAGGAAACGTTAAAGTCTTGGAACTTTTCGTTCTTTATGCCCAAATTGATGGATTCCGCTCCCCTCCATCATTGGAGCGAAATCACCGGCGCAAACGCGTGATTACAACGACCCTGAATGTTGGGATTTTGTGCTAAAAATGAATGGGATTGATTTTCCTCATGAGTTTGTGGAGAATCACAAAGGTCATCTAATCTTTGGGAGTTTCCTCTAGGAAATAAACATCCAATCAATATGTGTGTGGCTGTGTCGACTAGTGTCAGCAGACCAACTTACCTAGTTAAGGCGATCAAACCCACGCCGACATCACAAATTTGGCCAATCAAAAGGGTATGGCCGAGTTGACCGGTATTGTTTGGCCAATCAACTCGTCCGATAACAGGCGGAGGATTGAGCTGGACGATACCGAATGGTTGGTCAAACCTATCTCGTGTGGGTAACCAAAACCCACACCTATCAAATTCTACTCTCAGCTATGAAAGAAAATGCAAACGTTGGGGAGGTTATACCATCACTGTGGCTGATTCAAGTCCGAAGGTGTATGGGAAGAACTCTCCTAGTGGTAGGAGAGAATGATGACCTTGCCGGAGTTCACCTTCCCCAAAGATGCGAGGAAGCTTTTTTTCGTTTTCTTGTCAGAATGTTGTCAGAGAAAAAGAAGATGACCAAATTCCTTCTCCCAAGTGGTAAGGAAGCTCCCCTCATCAGAGAGAACTAGAAGGTTGCTGGAGTTGGCCTTCCCTAAAGAAGTGAGGAAGCTTTCCTTGTTGCCTTGTTGGAATGTCACCGAAGACGAAGAAGATGGCTTGAGAAATGGAAGGAAAGATGAAGAAAATGATTTCCCTAGCCTTCGCTTGGAGGAAGAAGAAGAATCCTTCTAGAAATCCTCTTGGAAGCTCCTTGAATCTTCACTCCCCCATGGCTTATTTAACTATAGAAAGTTAGTCCAAGGATCTAAAGCCGTTTTCCCAATTTTGAATGGGCCAAAAATACCTCCCATGCCATTTTTAGGTGAAAAATCAAACAATAGAGCATTGGCCACCGATCATGGTCACCTTGTCGACGGGATTCCAAGGATCAGAGGTCCAAATTCATTAAACAGGTCACGACAACGTGACCACGTCGGTCTCGGACATTGTCACGTCACTGTTCAAGGTGTCACAGATCAGGGCCTAGCATGGCCACTTTCGAGGGTTGGTATAATTATGTCAGGTGCTCTGTCTGGGTAGAGTGGTCGTGCCACTTACCGGCGTGGTCATGTCGGTCGACGAACTCGAGCGTCAACTGAGATTTGGGCATGTGAATATCCATATTGCGGCGTAATTATGTCATAGTCTCTGTTTGGACGGCGTGGTCAAGCCGACCACAACCCTTTTATGTTCTTCATGGAGATCTCGACAAGGCTACTCCCGGTTTAGGCGCGGTCACACTACTAACTAGATGTGATCAAGCCACTAACTAGGTGTGGCGACGCAGTGGCTTGGTCAAGCTTAAATTACGTGGTTATGTCATACCTCGTAAAAATTGGGCTTCTACAGAAGCTCGCAAATGGGGTTTCGGGCCTCGTGGGACCTCCAGAGGATCGAATATGCAGGTCACGATCCTTGGATCCCCGTATTGAACGTACATGTGTCTCAAAAGAGTTTGAGAGGCCAAACCTTCTACGTATCATCAAGCAGAGTGATTCCAGAATGAAATTTGTTTATTTGAGTCTTGGACTTAAGGTCCAAACACAGTGCGGGTTGACGGTCTGCGCCATGGGAATATCCATATCAATAGGATACGACCCTGTGTTGCAGGAATGAATGTCAACCTGGAGGATTCCGAAAGCAATGCTAGCTTGGCCATGATCGACTCGGGGTACGGCTATGACGGTGTAGACCTCAATTCAAGCCCTTTTGCGAAGTTGAATGTTAAAACTGCTACACTATACATGTTGAATGAATCTTCAAAAAGAAAATTCATTCTTGTACTCAATTTCTTTGAAATTTTCAGCCTAATATCAAAATTCAAAATTGGACTTTTTCAAATCTATAGAAACTTTTGAAGCAAAACATGTCAATATTGAAATGAGCTAAAATAAATCAACTTAAGAAGATATATATTTCCTTAGTATCCTTTTACTTTTTCTCTTTTAAGTGAAAATGAATTTATCATTTACGTCCCAACCACATGCTGGAACTGCCTCAAAAGTGATAGTCCTTAAACCCAAAATATAACTTGATGTACTATAATACTAAGCAAGCTCGTTGATGTATGTGCGTAAAGTTTGAAAACAATATTCTCATTCAAGTATGAGTTATTGGATGCCAGAGAATTAGAAGTATATTGCATGTTAAACTTTTATCAATATTTATAACTTCAATGTCACAACTCTTGGGTCTTAAAAATTTTGATTTTTAAATATCAATGACAATGACCTGAATGCTCGAAATGCTTGTCCATATCAAATATAAGGGAATGTTAATAATTCGTTCTAGAAGAAGGGAAGAACATATTTAATGATTTAAGAATTGTATTCTTGTGTTCTTACCACTACAATAAAAAAATGAATCATATAAAGTGTGCTTCTAATAAGTAACTTTATTAAAGTTTCTAGGATTTTGAGCCTATAATTACATGATCAAGGTTGATCTTATTTGGATATAAACAATATGAGAAACCCAATCTTCCAAGAGTTTAAATTCATTTGAAAATCATTTCAATATGAGTTATTGTTCTTAAAAAAAAGTATTTAATCCTAAAATCCTATGAAAGGTGTTTGTCATCTAAAATGTCCATTTTCTCTTCAAAGTTGGAATAGTATTTTGACGATATTGTTTGTATTGATTACTCCTATTCTAAGGAATGTTAGTAATATTTCACATTCTAACATTTGACAAATTAAAGGCTTAGAATTAAAAAAAAAAACACAAAAGTATAAATAAACTAAAACCTAAAATTTTTAAAATAATAGCACTTGCTTTAATTTTTTCAAAATTAAAATAAAAGCACTATATCTTTTGGTGTTGGATGACATTTCACTTCTTAAAATTTGATTTCAGGACCATGGCTGGAGTCTGATAATCATTGTGTGTTTGAATCATTAAATAAATCTTACATGATCAATTTAAAATAAAGTTTAAATGAAATGGAACTCAATTAAACTTTAAAATATTAAACCATCAACATTTTGAAAATGATCAGAACCTTAAACATCAAGTTCCAACTAAAAAAAATCTTAAACATTAAAATCCAACTAAAAATAATCAAAATTTCAAACATCAATTATGACCCGTTTGGGGCAGCTTATTTGGTGCGATGGCGTTTTGAAAACACACATAGTATGTTTGAGCAAACTGCGTTTTGACAGCTTGTGCGTTTTCAAAATGCTGAAAACATCGTTTTCATGCCGCACCTATCTAGGTGCGGTGAGAGCTTTCTGGCTGTGGTATGATTTTTCCAAAAAAAATAAAAAATTTGTAATAGCCACCGCACCTAGCTTATCAGCAGATTATTCAATAAGTTATAGATGCCCCAAACATACCCTTAGTGATAAATAATCTAACTCTTAAACATCAAATTCAACTTAAAAAGAAAACCAAAATCTAAATTCTTAAAATGAACATTGGGTCTAAAACCTTAAATAAAACCAAAGTTGAAATCCATTGAACATAAGACATTAAAATTTTCTAGCAAAAGCTTGAATTGAAACCACAAATAAATTGAAAATTGAAAACTCTTAGATCATTAGGACATTGTCCTTAAACTTTTATGGTTGTTATTTAGGCAATTTATACTATCTCCTAGGGTGTCCTATACCTAATACAACCAGAAAACTCAAAATTACCATAAGAATGAAAACAAAAAATAATTTTAAAAATTGAAATTAATAAGACAAGACTAAAATTAAAATTCTAAAATCTGAGATACCAGTGATGAGATACTAGAGATATATTTACGCTAATTACCAGTGATGAAGCATTTGTCACTTTTTTTATTAGTCTATTGAATTAATAATACAAAAAAAAATTATACAAATAGTTGAGTTATTTTATGAAGCCTAATAGACTGAACATGGTAGGATGTCTGCATCTGTTACAGTTATGGTGTTGGGAGAGATTTTACACTGCCATACCAAAATTGCGAGTTCCTTACCCTACAGATATAGAGGGAAGAAGTGTTTGTTACAAGTACATTACAAGAAGTGTTTGCCTGCCTTGCCACAACTTATCAATAGATCAACGACAATGGGATATACCATGTAGATGTTAAAAAACTTTAGCTTGATGGCGGTGAAAAGACAAGTCATTGCTTCAATCTCTGTGAAGCCTTTGATGAGCGGGCAACACTCATTGAGGGTCGGATCTCCAATCTGAATCGCACTCCTAAGGAGATCCAAACAAGTTCCAAACTTTAGGATGTCTAGAGGGCAAGTATTTTTGTGAGCTGGAAGCGAAGAGGAGCCCGGTTTGCCCGTCAGTAGGGGTTTATTTATCGGCGGGTTCACGGTGATGGGAGGCAGGGTGATGTGTTGTTTTCCCATGATGGGAGGGATGGTGATGTTTGGCTTAATAATAGTGTGGAGAGTGACCGGCGGTTTTATGAAGTGTTGGGGGAAGGGGATATGTGGTCCTCCGACGGCTGGAGGAATTTTGAAACGACTTTTTTCAATGGTTGGAGGGAGGATGATATGTAGTTTTTCAATGATTGGAGGGATGATTATTAGTCTGTCTTTGGGAGCTGGGTTGGGGGTCACAGGCTTCCGGCAGGCACCACTATCAAAGGCAACTTGGAAAAAGGAAGAGAAGGAAGTGACAAGAATGAGCAGAAAAACATAGACCATGGAGGAGGAATCCATGGTGCCTTCTAGCTAGCTCATCTCTTCATTTAAATGCTAAGATATATATATGTAGCTGTTGCAGAGAGTAAACAGACAGGTTTTGTCTTATAGAAGAATCAGATGAGTGGAATCTGAGTAGAGAAATTGAGGAAGACATGCAAAGCACATCAACTTGTTGCTCTTGCCAGGTTTGCTAACTGACGCGGGCGACGAAAGCCATTTTGGTGGTTCGATGAGGGAGAAAATATCATGCCGTCATTTCATTTATAATTAATATATAATTAAAATATGTCACATTGCTTTAGTCCACTGAATTACAGTACAAGCAGTGCAAGACAAGAGATCAAATTACAATAAGATTCGAGTAAATTAATAATATATTTGTATCTATTTCTTTATAAGGTAAGATTAGATTTTTATCGATTTTTAATTAACTTTTTGATAATTTAATTGTTACACTTGCAAAAAATCTTTCATAGTTTTAAAATTGACGTATTAAATTATTGATATATTAAAATATCATTTTATAAAAGAATTAAAAACCGAAAAAAATCAGTCCGTTACAAGCCGTGTTGCTGGCAACTAGGGCTGTCAATTTGACTCGTTGTTCGTGAACAGCTCGCGTTCGGCTCGTTAAGCAAACGAGCTGAACACGATCACTTTTTTTTTGTGTTTGAAATATGAACGAGTCAAACACGAACTGTAGTATTTTTTACGAGTCAAACACGAGCTAAGCCTGGGCTCACTCGTGTTTGACATGTTCACACCCCTACATGTGCTTGACTTGCAAAAGCTATAACTTTAGTTGAGCGTTTAGAACCAACTAACGACCATATTTTAGTTGAAGCATAAAAATTTCTACTATATTTTTTTGCAGAGTTTGTCGGAACATATACCTCTCTTATACATTTTTTAATAAATTATAATTGTACCATCATTCTTTTGTTTTATATTTATATTTTTCATAAAAATATGAAAATTTAATAATAATTAAAGTTCATCATTTTCTATACTTTATGAAGATGAATTTTTAATTAGGCTTATAATAGTCTCAAAAAAAATTATTTAGAACTTTTAGATTAAATCTTCTTTTCTCATATATTTAACCCGCTGATTTTGGTATCTATTACCATAATCAATGTGATTGTTGCTTGGCACCTATCCAACAAAAAGCGTGGGGAAACACTAAAGGGAGTTGCATATGTAAAAAGCTTCAAAAAGAGCCGATCTTGAGGGAGCCTAAGCTCATCTCATGTTCGGCATATTAAAACATACCACTCGGTGTTCGGCTTTTATATATTGAGCATAAAAAATTTATTCTTATTCGGCTCGTTTGCTTAGGGAGCGGAACACGAGTTGTTCGAACAACGAGCCATTTTAACAGCCCTAGTCAAGCAACCAGAGATTGTTGTGTAGAGGTGAAATTCAAATCTTATTATTTATATTTAAATATTCGGTTAAATAGAATTTAATATATTTTTATTCTATTTTTATTAATAATTTTTATTGATTATAAATTTTTGTAATATTGTAGTTAATTGAATTATTTAAAAATAATTCTTTTAAATTATATATATACGATCAAACAATTCTATTTTTTATTATTTAAGTAATAACTCCTCGATGAGTCAAAATGAGCTCAATACGATCAAACAATTCTTTGTTTTTGTGCGGCTTGTTTATATATTGAGTGAAAAAATATTAATCGTGTACGGCTCATTTGCTTGGCAAACAAAATAAAAAATGATATGCTTAAAGAGTTGAACAAGAGCTCTTCACGAAGAACAAATTGTTTTGACAACACTAATCGCACGTCCATATGACGGTTAGGATGGGTCACCGTGCAATACACAAGAACATGACGGCATCTGAACCATCCTCTGGATGTGCAATCAATCACACATAATAATTTTACACCCTCACAACAATTTTCTCACCTCACTCCTCTCGCCAATGGATTTTATCCTCTCTCTGATCTGTGGTAGATGTAAGTTTCTGTTTTATTTTTTATTTGTTGTTCTTTCATTTAAAGTACTTATTAATTATTAATTGCATTTTTATTTTTTGCATCATCATTATTATTAAATCAACCACCATCTTCAACCCTCATATTACCCTCACATAATAATAATAATAATTCATGCGTGCCAGAAGATTCACAATGGTAGATTTAGTAATAAGTTAGCATCTTAGTTTGGACAGAGATCCAACACACACAGATAAAAAAAAATGTAATAAAAAGATACCTCGACTTTTTAAGTGAAAAATCAATAAAAAGGAAAAAATCACATGGTTTAGCCTATGTAATGGTTAGTACAAGAGCTAACTCTTTTCCTAGGTTAGGAAAGATGGAATACAAAGTTGAAGTACAAAAGTTTTTAAAAATAATTGTTGTAATGGGTCGCGGAGGCTGCAGTAGATTGCTATAGAGGTAGTAGTCTACCGTAAATATTTTAGACGGTGGTTGTAGATTCAAATTTTCATAGAAACCATAGTTAAAAGTCATGGTATTAGTTATCCATGTGGGTCATAGATGGTTCCTTCAAGAGCAGTGGTTGTAGATTATCACATAGGTCATAATGAGAAGCTATAATAACTTTTGTAGGTCATAGAGGCTAGAACTGGGAGCTATATAAATTGTGATCACATTCATAGGCCACAGAGGCCAGAGTTGGGAGTTGCATGAGCTGTGATAACGTCTGCAATGCATAGAGGCCGGAGTTGAGAGTTGCATAGGTTAAGATAATATATATATATAGTCACAAAGACCGGAGTTGGAATCTGCATGAGTTATGGACAACATAGTGTGTACTTGGTCACGTAGGCCATAGTAGTAAGTTGCAAGGAGAGAGTTTGAGGAGTTCGGAGAAAGCCGATGTATCCTGAGTATGATGGTTATAAATAGTTATTGTGATCTGCGTTGTTACACTATCTTTTGGAGACATCGTTGTACCGTATGTGGGGTGTGTCGTTGCACCATATTCAGACTGATCCTTTTGATCAGACAACATTCTATGGATATTCAGGTGCCTTAACAGCATCATAATTAAGTGATCATATGCTCATTGGTATTGACTCATCATGATGTTCTACTTGGCTATAAGCTTGTTAAATTTGTTGCAATTGAGCGTCACAAGCTTTCACAAATGGTTCAATAACTTGATTTGATTCAAATTGAGTTAATTTTAGTTTCATTACATTTGTCTCGTTGAACTGGTCAGTTTGACTATAAGTTTGTTGAAATCAAAGTTTTACATGATTTTTAAACAGAGTTTGAACTTTTCTTGCTAAAAAATTTACCTCGAGATTCATGTCCAATGATGAAAATTTGTTGATGGTGCATTTGTTGCCCTCTATTTTTGGGTGAAGCTAATTTCATCGTTTGAAAAATACTAAAATCCATTTTTTTTAAAAGAGTTGTAGCTTCGTTGGCAGGTGCACGGTTCTCCTCGAGGCTTGTGTTCAATTCTCTTGGCCTTCATACATAAACTATTTTGTCTGCGAAGGTGTCAGTGCTGGCCGGTGAGGCGTCAACATCCATGGGAAAAGGCGAGTCGTTGTCATGCAGAATGAGTTCGACATGTTAGTGGGTTCTTGTTGGATGGAATGCATTGTCAATAGGTTGGAGATGGAGCGGCATAGCGGGTCATCGGGTTGGTCGTGTTATGCAGATCACCCTATTATGTTGGTCATGTCAGAGGAGCGATCAACAAGGCTATGTCATTTTCTACATGGCTACACCATTTTCGACGTGGGTATGTCAAGTCTGGTAGATTAGGATTGAAGGCAGGATGCGTTGGATGACGAGATGCTCAGTGATCCTTGGACTGTGTGAATCCAATAGCACGGTGAATTGTTTCCCTATAGATATAGATCACACTCGTGATCTATTAGATCCATACGAATGCATGTGGATCTACTTAAATCGGGTGGCAAGCATTGCTCTTGCGCAATCCAGGTGTTTCTGACATTTTTTTTCCACATTTTTACCATTTTGAGCCTATAAATAGGCCAAAAAGAGGAAAAAAATTTGAAGTCTCCCAACCTATTTTGTTGCAATAAACGGAGTTTCCTCGATCTGCTGATTGGAGTCCCTTGGCTTATTGTTCAATCAATTGAGCTCTCTCAACGTGCTAATTGAAGTCTCCTAACATGTTGTGTGATCAATAGAGCTCCCCAAGCTTGCTAACTAAGTCTCTCAGCATGTTTTTATGCGATCAGTAAAGGAGAATTTTTTGTGCTACTGTCGTGCTTTTCAAGGGAGATATTACGCGTTGCTATCACACTTTCCGAAGGAGATTTTTTGTGATGTTTTCTTGATTTTTAGAGGAGATTTCATGTGTTGCTGTAGCGCTTTCTAGAGGAGATTATTTGTAATATTTTCTTGATTTCTAAAGGAGATTTTATGCACTACTATCGTGCTTTCAGGAGGAAATTTTCTACACTACTATTGTGTTTTTTGGAAGATATTTTTCACTCTACTTTCACTCTTTCTAGAGAAGATTTCTCTTGTTGCTGCCACACTTTACAATGGAGATTTTTTTGTGATACTATCATGCTTTTTGAAGGAGATTTCTTACAATGTTGTCATGCTTCCTAAAGAAAAATTTTCATGATGTTGTCACAATTTATAGAGGAGAGAACATGAAGTTGCAGATCTTTTGACGAGGATGCTATTTTAGTGGATTAGCATCTTTTCTTCAGTTTACTTGTTATAGCTTTTCCACCAGTGTGCATTTGTCTATGTAGTTTTCCAATCGCCTGATATGGAATTTATATACATTGATAGTGCATTTGTCTGCAAATCTTTGTTTTGATTTATATTATGATATTGCATTGTTTGCGCATCTCCATATATAGCAAAAAAAATTGAGATTACTTTTAAGGTTGTTTTGGCTTTTTCCTTTTGTTGCTTCCCCTTATTTGAGATGTTTTTGCCACACTTTTAGCATGTTGTTGATGCATTTATCTCCGTAGTTAGAGCATAATACCGTCAAACTCTTCTGAGGCTTATATCT